TAGGACGCAAATATAGTTTCCACAGTCAGGTAAACCCACAAGCTCTCAGACGTAGCTCTCGAGATGTAATGTTCTTCTTCCCAAAGCCCCGAAGGCTTCGGGAGCCGGCGTTCGCTGCCGGAAATGATTATCTTTGTTCTTGACCCCGTTTACCGCAATGCGGTAAACCGGGTGCCCTATCCGCTTCCCGGTTGGCGTGCAGGTGTTGCTGCGCGGTATACCCGAGCAAGGATGCTACGCTGGGGTTGCCGCGTGGACGCGACCCCACAATATTTAAGGACTAAAGGTCCGTTTTGCCTTTTGTGAGAGTTGGGTGAAACCCAAATCTCACAGAAATATCCAAGGACGAGTTTCGGCAATTGCCGAAACTCGTCCCTGTTTTATTGCTCTGTTCTGCTTAAATCGTTATTTGGCGCTTTCCTTTGACGTTTAGTTTTCTAGGAAAAGTGGACAGGGAAAATTTGCTCGTTTGTCGTTTTAAACAAGAGAATAATTTTCTACGCTCTGCTCATTCAGAAGAGGCTTACGAAAATGTTCGACATGGGGGAAACAAAAATTGACTTTTCTCTCAACAACTCTTCAGACAAATTTTCAACTGCTTCAAGAAAGGTTTCTAATTGCTTGATGACATTTTCAACTGCATTTTTCTTGTAACAACCTGCCTAATAACATTGAAGCAAAACTTTGGAAAGTCTGCAAATTTTTGAAACTTTGCCTGTCTGCCAAATATATTTGCGGAATTTTCTGGTTCATGGGTTTTTTTCTTATTTCTTATTTATGATTTCTAGCAAGATCAAACTCTATGTTTATCACTCTGTAAAATTCCGTCTCTCCATATAATGCCGTTTGAACAGTCTATGTCTTTGGACATGTGAAAATTCTTCAGCATATACCTCATGTATTTTTTATTATTATTTTTTTCCTGAAATATCCTTCGCCAACTTCCGTCCCCCTGAATTTAGCATCTAGACGATGCTTCCATTCGATTTATGTGTCAAAATGACGGATGAAGACAGCGGAATATCTTCCAATGAGGAAGAAGCTCGGAAAGCTTCTTTTTAGCATGTAAAATATCTGACATACATCCAGTCTATAATTTGGATGCGTCTTCGTCGAAAGATCCCAGATTTTTTTGCCCTTTCAAGACAATTTTCCAGAAACTACTTGTAAATTATACTTGATTTTTTTTTTATCCTGAAATAATGCTGCCTTTCAATCTCTGATACGATTTTAATTTGTGTGCAAAAAGCTAATTTGAAAAAATAGTAATTTGCACCCAAATGACTCGAATGATGTTCGTTGAGCAAAGAAATTCCAGGAAATGCTCAGCATTTTTGCTCCCATGTCATAGGATCAATTTCCAGTAGTCTCAGGCGGCTCTTGAAAGCAAGAGATGCTTTCAAACGAATTTCCCAGAAACTGGCCTTTCTAGACTCGACATAAACTTTATAAACTCCGGGAAGCAATGAAATTTCCACTTGAAAGAGAATGAGATATATACCATTATAGCTCGTGAAAGTTGGCTGATCAAAGCCAGGGTGTCTATACTCCTATAAGATCAAATTTTCCAGATGTCATTCGCAATCCTATTTTCGCACACAATTTTGGCACTTCACTTTTAATTTATTCATGGGTAAACCTTGAGCGCACCATGTGTCAAGTCTGTGCCCTCGGACATTGGCCCGCACTGTTTTAATTTTGAAGAAAAATTAAAGAAATTTTCGAAACCTCCTTTAATAATGTATGAAACTTATGTTGTGAAGGGACAGATGAACAAACACAAGACCGTGTCCGCTGTGGGTTTCCATTTTCCTTTTTTTTTTAATGGTGCTGTAAAAAAAAAAAGTCTGCTCCGAGAAAAACAATTTTAGCGATATATGGAAGAAGAGCTTCTCTGGCGGAAAAATACCCCGGGGTTATTGGATGTTTGTGTCGGGTTCGTGTGATAGCCCTTATTGCGTCAATGTTTGCTGCTCAGATTTATCTCACCTCACGTCTATGACTTATGATGGCTGCGGAGTTTCTGCGCAATCTTCTGCCTGCAGCTTTTCGGCACGACAGAGCAAAGAGTTTACATGTCACTGAATTGATAATTTTTTTTACAAGTTTGACACACCATCCTATTTATGAAAAGATAATGGTTCTGGAGGATTTGCTTATTGCATTTGTGTTTCTTTTTCCTCTTTTCCTTTTCAGAATTATTTCAAACAGAACTATAAACCTGTGAAATTGTACAGCAGAGCTCCGGTAATTAGTTGGAAGTAGGTTTATTCTAAATTATTCAAGATATGTTAAACATACGAATTCCAGTGGACCTACAAACGTGATTAAGCAAAATTTATAAGATGTTTGGGGGGGGGGGATGAGATGAGGAACCTGATGAAGATTTACTTGCACATCAGCTGACAATGCAAAAAAGAATTCCTTCAATTTTTATTTTATTAGCCCATCAGAGGCCAGGAGATCTGTTAGAATATTCAGAAATTTTCTGGTCAGATCACCTAACTGGAAAATTCCACGAAAATATTAAAAGCTCATTCTTATTATTTCAAATTCATGAGCAGTCTGTCTAGAACTCTCAAAGGATAGCCTTTTCACTGCTGATTTGTGTGCAAATGTGACTTTGTTTGATCAACTGTGGTGTTTTTACACATTGTGTGTGTGAATTTAGTCAATTGGATTCATATAAATGTTGATTTTCTTTACTGAAAATATTGAAGAAGACATCATTGAAAAACCATAGGAACATCCATTCAATGTTACCCTTTGAATATGTGTTCTTGGATCAAAAGGAACACAATCCTGCCAACAAACGACCATGAGAGAAAATCTTGAATATACATCGGTCTTGAATCTAGAAATCGTGAAAATATCCGCCTCTATAATGAAAGCTGGCATATTAAAAACGCGGAAAGAAATGAAAAAATAGCTCCCAATATTCTGAAATGAAGCTGCTGCAAATCAATGGTAAGCCGAAAAAAGTTCTTGGTGCATACATCAGATGTATATTGACTCGTGGGATTTCGGCCCTTGGATGAAGACGAAGGATGAAACAAAGAAGACAATGTGCCCCAGGGGTACAATCTTTGTCCCCATGCCTCCCAAGCCATTGTAATATACTATAGCCTGTATCAAATCACAGAAGAGACCGGATATATTCTTCATTTATCTTTCCATCTGGATCCATTTTCTGAGTCACCACCATTTTTTGAGTCTACACTGGAAATGTTCGATTCGAAATAATTCCTTTGCTTTAAAAATCAACTGTTTTTATGGCTTAGAAAAATTTCGAAAGATGGGATAGGTTTTCTTGCAAAATCACATGGCATCCTTGTGCATGAAAAGAGGGCTCATACTGCATTTGAAAGTATTTTCCCACAGAAACAATTTATATACTTGCAGGCTAGTTATTTATATCCTAAAATATGCAGGAACAATTTCCTCTCCATTGAATAACGCTGTTCTCCTCAATCAACTAACATCATATACCCCCCTTTTTTCAATATTGATGACGTATGATTTGCAGGTGAAACAATTTAATTCGCTGAATTTTTTCTTGGGCCATTTCCCCCTTGCAAATTTAAAAGTAAAATTGGCACAAAAGGGGCACATCACCTCAGCGAAAAATATAGTGTGATTGTCATGTTGGAAGACGGAATTTTCTCAAAGTTAATTTTGAAATAGTTATGCGCATTTGAAGGATAACGTGAAGGAAAAAAAATCATTTTAGCTCTACTGAAATGCAAATCAAATACAGGCGCTCAAACCCAGCTAAATTATTTTGAGAAAATCTTCCTTTAGACTGCTGGGATTAATTTTCAAATTACTTTTCGCATTATAATATCAATTTTAACAGACCTTAAGGACTCAAAACATTCCCGCTCAACTTTTGCTCCTCAAAAAATCACACTGGTTTCCTATTCCTCATTAGAATAAGAAAGCGATAAACAAATGAAATTAAACATGTATCACGAAGAAATACTCACCACAAAAAATACAGCTACAGCCACTGTTCCTTTCATGATCAAGTTCAGTGCAAAGATGTCCTTGTCAACCCAGTTTTCAAAGAAACATGAATCTGCAACCGTCACAAAACCAAAACTTTTTCGGAACATTCAAAATGTTGCAATGAGATGATAGAAGTATACGTCACATGTCTTATTAATTATAATTTGAACAAAGCCTAGTCGAATATTGGCATGGACTTTGAAGTTGTCTCAATTCAAGAGGAGAATAAATAAATTATTTTACCCGAAAATATCTAAAATTAAGAAAATGTAGGCAAATAGTTTGAAAGTATTGGGAGATTAATCTTACTGCTAGCTTGATCACTGCCCATTTTGAAAGCGCAGCTCAAATCCAAGCTCATCATTCGAGTGTTTCTCAAATTTTTCTACAACGTAGAAATTCAAAAACGATAAGAAATTGCACTTCATTTCACTGACTGGAGTGATGAAAACTTGAGTACAATGTCAGAGACATATAATACTGTATAACGGAAAGATTACTTGCGAAATTTTGCGTTTTAATAGCCCTCGAAATTTGCACTGGATGCTGTCAGCAGCTCCAAGCTTCGCGCACTGACGACAGTGTCCAGGTTTCGTTAGTCGACAGTGTCGATTTCTGCGTCGACGCCGTCCCAAGCATCTCTGTTCGTCTCCTATAAAACCTGCGCTTTGAAAAAACAAATCTGCATCCAAATGGTTAAGCAGTGTTTTTTCTCATCAGGATTCATTATTTTAAAAAAAATCGACGCATTTCTTCAAAAAATCTCTATTTCCAATCGCACTTTGCGTCTTCGCGACAACATCGATCGACGATCAAAGACCAGCTATCTCATCCATCAAAAGAATAACACATGCACCATGCAGAACAAAATACTTTAGCAATTTCCGGGGGAAAACAAAAGCTATGAAGTATAGTAAAAGAATCGCTCTTCCATCGAATAACAAGACTCCAACGACTAATAAATAACATCAACAAAATATAACAATTGTTTTCTGCTCCACCTCGAATCACAAAATGCCTCTTCAAGCTTCCCTCACTCCCAGCAATTTCATTTCCTGTCAATCAGTCCATTTTTCCCCACTTTTTGTCTCTTAACATTTCCAGAAATATATTTCGCATATGGCTTCACGAAATTTTCTTTCCTTTCCGAACTCGCTGATTTACAGTATGAAATTCCACAAATCGTAGTGTGATAAGAAACAGGATTTAAACAAGCATCGGCATCAGACGAAAGGCGTACTTTCGAGGGAGCAAAGTTTCAAATTAAAATTTCTTGTCGATGCCAAGGATTTCTTTGTTGTTGTTGTATTTTCAACGCAATCGACGACGAGGAGCAACGAAGTCGTGTTGGGGCTCGATTTTCTCCTGGGTCGACGAGGATTTTCTCATTCTCATGAACAGGAAGCAACAAGCTGTTGCCATCAAGAGAATCATCAAACTGCAAACTCCTGTATAGAGGACACAGAAAAAAAGTTTTTAAAAGTTGGCGTGTAATGTAGAATATTTCGGAGCAGGGAATAAAGCGGGTGAATATTGAAATCGATAACTCACCCAGAAGCGCAGTGAACACGCCGGTCTTGATGCAAAAATTCTCCGAGTCAGGAGAAAAACCTGAGAGATGGGAAAAAAATCGACACGAAGATGAGCTTCCGGAAGTAGAAAATAGAGACTATATATGTAGTGTAAAAGTAGTGTGACGTTCGACCATGCGTGCAAATCACACGATTTAGCATACGCTTTTTGGCGACGGTAAATCTCCTGAGAATGCGTCATCCCGATTGCATCCCCCTGAGTCCCGCGTTGAAAAGAAAAATAGGAACATCCTTTTTTTTAGGTATTTATTTTTATTCTGCAATTCTTTCTAATGTATACTGCTTAGCATTGCCTTTGGTGAAGATACATACGAGGTTTTTCCGCAACGAAGAATAAATACGAACTTTCAGAGTCTTATTCGTCTTCTCGCAATAAAAAAGTTTTTCAATTTAATGTAGTTTGTTTTCAGTAAAAAACAAACAATGCTTCATAGCTCAAAGTTTCAGAGCCATATCGTCTTCATGAAAATCAAAGCCTTTTCATTTAAGAATATGTTTGTCTTCAGTTTTGAAAATAATGTCTTCATTTAAAAATTTCAGAGACTCATTTTTTGTACGAGAATCAAAGCGCTTCCATGTACGAATGTTTGTCTTCAGTTGAATAGACAATTTCCGAAGTTCAGAATATCACAGCTTTTTTGTTCTCACGAAAATGAAAGCCTTTCAATTTACGAATGTTTGTCTTCAGGCAAATGAACAATGTTTGCAGTTTTAAATTTCAGAATCTCATTGTTATCACGAGAAGAAAAGCCTCTCAATTCAGGAATGTTTCTCTTAAGTTATAAAGAATTTTAATCCACGAATGTTTGCCTTTAGTTTAAAAAAAAGAGGATTTATGAGTCCTTGTGATTTTTTTTGATGAAATCAGGTTTTCTGGTCACACAAATCTGAATGCTTTAGATAAATTTTACAAATGCTTCCGACTCTTCGGAATTCATTTTTCGTGCCTTTTTTCTAATTGATGCATACAGTACTTCTATACGTACGAAGACATTTTCGAAAAAACTGTATGCGTAAAGCTTTTCTCATTTTTCGGACTTTGAAACCCACGAATGAAAGGAATTTGTTTTTAAGCTCTTTCAATTTTCCGAGAAAAATCTCCCATTCCAACAGGGATTTCTTTATGCTCATGAAAGGATATTTTTTGCGTAGCTCGCCTTGAAATTCAACACAATATGAGTACTGTATCGCCAAATATGTCAAGGTCGGAACGCTTATTTATTCGGGAAAATGAGGGTCAAACCTGTACAATTCTCATTACGGACACCTTTTTCAATTTTTCGAAAGGTTCAAAAGCAACTCAAACAAACCTCAAAAACATGAAGCACGCGATTTCAGAAGAAAAACGGGGCTCATTTTCACCTTTTCCATTTCAAGAACTTATATAAAGAGAGTAAAATCAGAAGAACGGACCAGGAATGAAAAAAAAAGCTTTTCCTGCGGAAAATTATTTCCATTTCTTTCCATTCGAGACTGAAATAGCTGCCGGGCATGATTCTGCACCTGTTCATAAAAAATGTAGCAAACATTTCCAACGAAATCATGGGATTTCTCTCCGAAATGAATTGCAAAGAAATTGAACGAATGCGTTCGCTGAGTTTTCATAAGATTTTCTTTACCTTTTTTTCGTATTTTCTCTAGAAATTCTGACTGACTGTGAGAGGAAACCCATTTTGCGGGGTTCTGTTATGAACCATTCCGTGCTTCAGAATGTTCAAAGTTGTGCAGACACGCACCAGACAAGCAGACCCACAGTAAATCACGAGATGTAATTTATTCACCAAAGAACATAAATCATCATCTCCGGAGAATCTGTATGTATGTAGACCACCGAGGTTTCCCCTGAGCAAAAGCAACCCATAACCCTGATGTCTTGGAGAACATGAGAGAACAATGTGATGGAATAATTTGGTACCTTAGCGGCTTAGCGTACTGCTATACTTGCACACTGACTACTGTTAGATGGCAGCCATATTAATTGCATACTAAAGATTTTAATCTGTTCCCTTCAAGGGTTTCAACAAATCAGGTGTGCAGAAGAACAGACTGATGAAAATATGTGTTGCACATATTGTGACTGTGAAGGTTATCTTTCTCAATTGTGTATTGTGTGTGTGAAGAAGTGTGTGAATTTCTTGGGGTTAAAAACTGAAATACAATTTATCTTTTCCTTTTGGGATTTCATGAAAGAAATCCTCAGCTGCACCCCACAGCTGATTCTTTGTTTTATTTTCGAATTTTTGCCTCTTTTTGTGTGAACTTAACCCACAAACAACAAGGATTAAAAGATATTTGATCTTTGTCACAGCAAGATCAGAGCCACCAAACTATATATTCGCTGCTGAAATGAACACTAGGGGAATTCAGCGCATCCCAAACCAGCTTTATACCCCAGCATCACTTCTTTGCACGTTTTAGAAATTATTTGCATGTTGATTTATGTTTTGCAAACATGGGCACAATTTTGGAAAAGGTCAATAAGCTGATAAATGAACTTTGTCAATGAAGAAAACCAATTCTTTCCTGGATGTGTTTTGAAATGCGGAATTATTGCAGTGCAAAGTGTCAGGCACAGATGTCGCAAGAACCCCTTGCTCAACTTCTGCATAAAACATTTCCATGCTGGAATTTCCAAAATTGGGCAACAACCCTTTTCACTCCATTTTTGATGCTAACTTTTTCTTCAGCCTCAAATTATAGGATCTTGCGCAGCATATACTTCATTTTGCTGATGCGTTGAAATTCTATCCCATTTCTGAATTATAATCATCTCATCTCTTGGAAGTCCTTTTGAGGGCTTCCCTGCAATGTGCTCTGGCAGATTGTGTCTTATATTCTATTTCTTTTTGTCTTATTTTAATTTGCTTTTTGTGAGGGCAGTGGCCCACAGAAAGTGTGTTACCCTTGAAGGTTGCATTGTAAACTCTTTATTTGGTCTAGACAAGCACTACAAAGCCATACTGTATAGGAAACCACTAAATCAGTGCATTTTTTCTTGATGAACTGAAGAACCAATCAAACATGTTCCACTTGAAATTAATAGGAAAGCATGATCCAACATAGGGACAAGGTTCAAGCACCAATTATGTCTGCATCTTTGGGGCCCCATTGTATATCCTTCTTACACATATGAACTCTCTCATCTACAACAAAATCCAAGTGACAATAAAAAATTCTTTGCACAGAGCATTTCATTCCCATGAACCCCTTTTATCTGAGGAGAGAAATCTATATAGGTCCACAAAAAAGCTTTATAACAAGAAAATTGTTGTGAACACAATTAATGCAGAGAGAGTCCACCTATACTCTTCCTAAATCTTGAACAAATGTTAATTTTAGGTGAAAACTTGATGAAATTCGACCATTACATGGACCAAGATGTTTATTACAGTATTGAGAAACAACTTCGTCCTGTGATTTTTGATTTTCCCATCAACTATACAGCACATTGATCATTGAAATTTCGCTGATGATATACTACACCCATCTTTTGGGTTGCGCTCACTTGTTCCTGCACTTTTTTTTTTTGGAGCCCAGTGGGTTTTTGTCAATCAATATATAGACATCGCATCCAACACCAACGAAAAGGGGGGGTTAATATGCATGTATATTTACAGTATATAGCCGGGATATATCGTATATATATATATATACTGTATATATATTGTTCACTTACCACCCTTTTGCACATCCGATTGGGACCTGGTCCCGGAAGCACTGTTCCTGTTAGCCTCGTCGTCGGTGTCGGCTGGCAGCTCGTCTTCCGGCACGTCCTTGAGGACTTGCAGGGCCTGGAACAGGCTGATGGTGGTAACATTCGACGCACTTCCGCTTTGGCTGAACCCGTCTTCCTCCTCGTCGGTGAACTCGATGTCGTCGCCGCGAGTCAGTCGGGCTTGTCT